TAAACAAGAAGGCGCTAGCGGCAGCCTCACACGCGAGCGCCACGCGAGGCTCCCGAAGCCAACCCGCGAAGGGAGGAGGGGAGGGCGGAGGAGGAAGAGTGGAAGGAGGAGGAAAAGCATTTGCACCTTCTTTGCTCCCACCCTAAGAAGTCTCCCGGGGATTTTGTATATTTTTTTTTTGCTAACTTCCCTCCGGTCTCCCTCTTCATCTCTCCTCTTCTTTTCCTCTCTGTTCGTGCACCCAAGTCCTTGTGTCTCCCTTACGCGCCCCGTGCCTCGCGTACCCTCTCGCTCCAGTCCCGCGACTACTTGGCAGCCGCTGCGCATGGAGAGCTCTGCCAAGATGGAGAGCGGCGGCGCGGGCCAGCAGCCCCAGACGCAGCCCCAGCAGCCCTTCCTGCCGCCCGCAGCCTGCTTCTTTGCCACCGCCGCGGCCGCAGCGGCGGCGGCGGCAGCAGCGGCGGCGCAGAGCGCGCAGCAGCAGCAGCAGCAGCAGCAGCAGCAGCAGGCGCCGCAGCTGAGTCCGGCGGCGGACGGCCAGCCCTCAGGGGGCGGTCACAAGTCAGCGCCCAAGCAAGTCAAGCGACAGCGCTCGTCCTCGCCCGAACTGATGCGCTGCAAACGCCGACTCAACTTCAGCGGCTTCGGCTACAGCCTGCCGCAGCAGCAGCCGGCCGCGGTGGCACGCCGCAACGAGCGCGAGCGCAACCGCGTCAAGCTGGTCAACCTGGGCTTTGCTACCCTTCGGGAGCACGTCCCCAATGGCGCGGCCAACAAGAAGATGAGCAAGGTGGAGACACTGCGCTCGGCGGTCGAGTACATCCGCGCACTGCAGCAGCTGCTGGACGAGCACGACGCTGTGAGCGCTGCCTTCCAGGCCGGCGTCCTGTCTCCCACCATCTCCCCCAACTACTCCAACGACATGAACTCCATGGCCGGCTCGCCGGTCTCATCCTACTCGTCAGACGAGGGTTCTTACGACCCGCTCAGCCCCGAGGAGCAAGAGCTGCTCGACTTCACCAACTGGTTCTAAGGGGCTCGGCCCGGTCAGGCCCTGGTGCGAATGAACTTACGAAGCAGGTAGGTTGCATTTTGGAGTGAAGGGGGCGGGGGTTACTTGTCTTCATCCTTTTTTCCTCCGTCTTAATGTCTATAGGGGACTGTCTCCACCGAGATGAGGGCTGGGGAGGGATGTGGATTTCAAGGATTTGTTGAAGTTAGTTGATTTGAAATCCTGGCTTGTTAGTTTCAACATTGGCGTCTGATAGTGGTTTTGCCCCCGTCTCCAAGGCCTGGAGGATAGGGGTGAGGTGGACAGATGCTGGAGAACCCAGCACTAAGACCTGTCAAAAGTGGTGCCCTACTGGACAAATCCTCCGCTAAACTTCCATTTTCCCCAACCACTTGCCTCAAGTTCACGTTAACCTCTCCTGTTCTTCTCTTTATGTTACAGGGTGACGGCACAACCTGCATCTTTAGTGCTTTCTCGTCAGTGATGCTGAAGGGGAGGAAAAAGGGGGGGAGGGAGAGCGAAGAAGAAGAAGAAAACCCTAGGCAACCAACCCCACCGCCAACTAAGCAAAGCAGGCCTGCGAAGCAAGACTCTCACAGAACAGGGATGAGCTCAGAACCGTATCTTTGCACTCCAATCATTCACGGAGATATGAAGAGTGACTAGGACCTGAGTCAATGCTCAAAATGCAGCTCGTGTGCAAACGCATCAGGATCCTGGCGGAAGGGAGCAGCACACGCCCTATAGAAACTCCCACCCACCACTAACAGGCAGAGCTGAAAGCGCTTGCTCGGGTGCCTTCACCTCCCCGCTCTCCTTGAAAGCGCAGTTCTTAAGCCTCTAGCAATGGGTTGGTGTCTTTCCTCTCAGTATCCTCCATCCCAACAAGCTGTGGACATTTGTCTGCAGTGAAATCATGCTATACTCATTCCTCTGAAACCCAGACCCGCCCCCTCCCCAAGCCCCACTCCCTCACACCATCTTTTCTACTGTTCTCATCATAGAATGCTTCCAATCTTTTGTGAATTTTTTTATTATAAAAAAATCTATTTGTATCTATCCTAACCAGTTTGGGGATATATTAAGATATTTTTGTACATAAGAGAGAAAGAATTTATAGAGTTTTGTACAAATGGTTTAAAATGTGTATATCTTGATACTTTAACATGTAATGCTATTACCTCCGCATATTTTAGATGTGTAGTTCATCTTACAACTGCCATTTCTCCTATGTGGTTTTGTAAAGAACTCTCCTCAAAGGTGAGATCAAAAGGCCACCAGACGTACTTAAGCACCAATGTGTCTTACTTTATAGAAACTTTGTTAATGTATTAATGATGTCAGTAAATACTGTTCCAGAACAAAGTTTATGCAGCTACTGTCCAAACGCAAAGTGGCAGCCAGTGCTTTTGATAGGTTGCCTTTTGGGAAATTTTTACCACTGCCTTTTTTTCCTTACTGTTTTATTACAAACTTACAAAAAAAAAAAAAAAAAACCATGTATAACCCTGTTTTATACAAACTAGTTTCGTAATAAAACTTTTTTCTTTTTCTTTTTTTTTTATGACTGAAAATAATCAGCTGCCTCCAAGTCTTTGACTCCACTGCACTGTCCAAGTTATCAAAATGCCAAAGGGAAGGGGTCTGTGGGAGAGGAGAGAGGGTGGTGCCACGTGTGCTAACTCGCAGATGTGACAAAGATAAGTGCTACTACCAGTCCTACCTGAGTTGGCTCTGTGATGAATGTAGAGGGAAAAGATACATAAGTAAAAATAGTTTTCTCCCCCTTTGATGCTACAAATGTACACCTACACCAGGTGGTGATTAACGGCTGCATCATCTTTTAATAAAACGACTGTACATTTTTTTTTTAATGTGAACTGGAAAGAGATGGTCTTCACTCCACTTTCTAACTCTTACTCCCATTCTCAATTTCTCACTGTGAAACCGTGAAAGAGCTGGGTGAGATAATAGGCACTAGGGGTGGGTGGAAGGATGGTTGGTGGTGCTGGAGTTTGGGCAGAGCGGGGGCACCCTCTCCACACTTCCAGTGGTGGGGATGTTCTTTCCCCCAGGATATGCACTTTCCATACTGATTTTAAGTAAAGGGCACGTATGATATGAATTCCTCTCGAAAGGAGTTAGATTTAAAGAAATAAAAGCCTTAGAGATGTGTGGTCGCTTTGAGACACTGGCCTATCTAAGCTTGTGACTCTATCCGAATAGCGTGAGCTGCGTGTAAAAGTACCCAATTACCAAGATTCAAAAAGAAATTGGTGGGTTTTTGGCTGGCTTGTTTCTTGTCAGTTAGCAAGGACGTGATCAGAATCCCACTCCGCCTCTTGCCGGCTCCTCGCTCGCCGCCTGCATTACTTGCACATTCAGTTTGCGTGTCTCCAGCCAAGCGGAAAGCCGAGCGCAAAATGCATCTTACAAAACCCAACAAAGAACTGGGAGCCAGCACGTCTTCCAGAGTTAAAAATCTAGTCTGTGTTGGTACATCTATACCATTTAGTGGCACAGAATAATCATTTTTTAAAGCTGCGATGCGCGGAGCACGCCACAGCGTCTGATGTCATTTTGCTAAATGACCCTCTATAGAATGCACATTGAGGCTTCAGCCCCTTTCAAAGAGATGAGCGTAATTAAGGGGGAAAAAAAAATCAGTAAATTCCTCATCGCCATAAATAATCGTACTTTCTGCCAGCAGTGGGCCAATTTAGAGCTTACTTGAGGGAAGTAATGCTTTTGTGATGCCTGCTTTTATTTTTACCTTCTCATTTGGAGGGCCAGAGCTGGGCTCCCCATCCCCCACTTCTTTTTCTTTTAATTTAGCTCTTTTGCAAGTTTCCAGATAAGGTATGCAAAGAAAGTGTAGCAAGTCATTTATGGCTATGAATATAACATTAGGATAATGTTTCAGCCCGCACAAAGGGTTTTATTCCCCCTTCTCCTTGCGAAGACAGGTGTTCTTTTACTCACTTCTGAATGGGAGATACCCAGTCTCGTTAAACTCGAGGCAAAGTTAGTTGTTGTTTGCCACAATGCGAAGGCAAACTCTAAAAATTCACAAAAACACACACAATTTTGCCGAAGCTAGGAAAGGGCAAAGCGGGGATTGGGCAAAATCTCATTACATCTGCTCTAATCGCTTAGCAACACAAAGCCGGGGCTTGTGCGGCGAAGGGAAGCCATTCACAGCGCTGTGACAGGCCGCATTCAGCCAGCATTAGTCAGCTCCATAAATCACTGCTGCCCATTGGCTGCGCGGCGGGCTTTGGAGCGGCCCTGGGCTGTCAGCGAAATACAAAATGTAGACCCCAGCGGCTAGCAGTCGCAACCTCTCCCCCATCCTAGCCCCCACCACACTTTCTTTACCCCCCACCCCTTGGGGGGTGCGTAGGGGGAGGGTACTGGGGAAGAAAACTGCCTTGACTTTATTGACTGAGAAATCGTACCTATTCAAAAAATGGCCTGGGACCACTGAGTTAAGACCGGAGACATGCCTGAAATTGACGAGGAGGAGCGGGGGAGTGCGGGAGAGAAAATAAAAACAGACCAACCGCTGGCCTCAGAACTGTCGAAGGCTAGAAATATTATGGGAGGCTGGGTTGGAGCTACTGGGACACGCGTTTCACCTCCCTGACACGGCCTTTACATTTTTTCTTTTTTTAAATTGGGGATAGGAAAGTATGTATGGACAAGACTCTATTTCAAGTTCACATCAGGTGGGCCCACCAAAGAAGAGAGAGAGAGAGAGAGAGAGAGAGAGAGAGAGAGAGAGAGAGAGACAG